TGGCTGAACGTGAAAACTTGCTCAAGGTGTCAATAAGCCAGCTTAAAGAGGCTGAATGTAACTCGGCTGAGGGTGAAAACGAGCTTAAGGCGTCAAGAAGTCGGCTTGAAGAGGTTGAATGTAAGTTGGCTGACCATGAAAATGAGCTACAAGGATCAAGAAACCGGCTTGAAGAGGCTGAATGTAAGTTGGCTGAGCGTGAATACAAGCTAATGGTATCAAGAAACCGGCTTAAAGAAGCTGAATATAAGTTGGCTGAGCATGAAAAGGAGCTAGAAGGATCAAGAAACCGTCTTGAAGAAGCTGAATCTATGTTGACTGAGCGTGAAAACGAGCTTAAGGCATCAAGAAACCTGCTTGAAGAGGCTGAATCTAAGTTGGTTGAGTCAAAAAGTCGCCTAGAAATGGCTGAAGTCGGACTCGAAACCACCTACACAAAGAAAGAAGAGTCTATATCACGATGTAGTTCATTAGAAGCCGAGCTAGAAATCTCTCTTCAAAGGGTTAAATCTTTGGAAAGCAACGTTCAAAAGGTGGAAGTTAAGTGCCGGGAACTCGAAGCCGAGGTATCGAGGCTACAACACGAAGCTCGGAGCACAAAGTCGGAAAATCCAGCCAAAGAACTCCGATTCCTCAGATTAAAGCAGGTGAGTTTACTAACAAAATCCTAAGTTAAAGTTTTGAGTTTATTTAACATATACGGGAACCATAAAATGAAAACGTTAACGTGATGTTTGTAGGACACTGGATTAGCGATGGCCGGAAGTAAATTTGCCGAGTGTCAAAAGACGATCGCTTCTCTTAGTCAGCAATTAAAAACACTGGCAACGCTCGATGACTTCTTAATCGACACAAATGATTCATAAACGAGCGTGGGTAAAATGGCTATAAATAACGACCGATGATTTTGAGTTTTTATACGATCAATTTCATTTATATTCGATGTAGATAGCGTAAATACGCGTCGGGAAATGCTTAATTTTATGTCGAAGGTATTAACTACAGCTCGTATTTTTTTTTTTTGATCAACATGGATATCCGACACGCTATGCATACAGCTAGTATTTGCTTATTCTTGATGTGGAAACAAAGAGTAAGCGTGTAAATCTCCGTACATTCGTATCTATTTCTATATAATCAATGAATGATCACTGAGTTACGAGTCAACTCAACGAGTTCAAATGAGTAAAAAGGGTTGAACTTGTATAAAATATACGTTATACTATTATAGAAAATGCTTTGTCTGTATACTTATGCATTATATGCTATTTTATGTTTCGTTTGATTCCGACTAAGGAGCCGTTTATCAAAATGCTTACTCGGGTAAGTGAACACCAAGTCACATTACCTTATCGGATGAATATGAAAAGGACCAATAATCTTACCCGGTAAGAACGAGAAATGACCAAAAGTCTTACCCGGTAAGTGAGGGCAACGAAAACACTAGTAAAGTGCTTTTAACTACAACCGTCACCACCCTTATTTTATTGGAGTAACATCCTCGACAAAATGGAGTATTAGCAAGTGCTAACACGAGTAAACACTTATAGATAAGATTACCAACTAAGGTAAACACTTACCCGGTAAGCATTTAAATAAAACAAATATGATATAAAAGAACAAGAAAATTAACGTTTTTATATTAAAAAATATATTTTTATATATTGTTATAGAAATAATGAAATATCTATACTATATTATAAAGAATTTGACAAAAACTCTTAAAAACCATTTTTTATACATAAAGTACTGTTTATTAATACATATTACTTAAAATTCAAGATTACAAGTAATTTTACATAAGTTTAACTTATTAAAGATCTATTTTTAAATTCATGTAACTAACTACAGATAAACATAATTAAATACAAAATAAACATTTATTTTAAATATAGAAAATCTAAAATATAATTACGATAATCATTGAATTACTTTGTTATTAAAAAAAAAATATTGTTAAATCAAAAATAAATTACTTTGTTATTAAAAAAAAAATATTGTTAAATCAAAAATAAATTACTTTGTTATTAAATTTAAATTAAATTATAATAAAAAATTGAAATAAAAAAGTTATACCAAAAAAAGAGAACTGTTAAATAGTTAATTTGATACTAATATCAATTTATTTTTTTCAAATTTATGTTTCATTTAACAAAAAAAAACTCTTAAAATCGTATTATCTCAATAGAGACAGAATAAAAATTAAATATTAAAATGAAGATTTATCTCGCTGCATTGCACGAGTACCCTTATAATTTTCATAAATGATGAAAAATACATATGTCATTATGTGAACATGAAAATCTATTGAGGATTTGAATGATTATTAAATAGAAAATAAGTGTTGGAAAAGGGACAAATTATTTGAATTTTGGGAGCATAAAGCAAAACTAGAATGGGTAAATCTAAGACAATAAATAGGGTTACAGCATTATTCACCAATGCACATTGCACAACCTAAAAGCTTCATGGTAGCCATTGATTGGCCTAATATAAAAAGCTAAAGTGATTTTGACACCCATATGATACATGAATTCCATGCCACCATTTTTCAATCAACTGTTTCTATTATTCCAACTTTAAAGCATCCTTTCAACAACATACTCCATTTTAGTCAAAAGGTAATGATAACTGGATGATAAAATCAACCCAGGTTCGTATCCTGCCATCTACATATGCGTTTGTGACCACTTAGAAATATACTTCAAGGTTGTGGACGAAGCCGATAGGTGTGACTTGTCATGGATTAGTTTGGACACAGGGGATTTTGTTCCTACATCACTTGATGTGACCATCTTTCTACTAAAAAAAAGATTTCACAAAACTAGAAAGGATTTTGGTTATTCAATCTTTGTCACCCACCCACCAAAATGATGATGATGATGACCATGTCTAAATTTGAGGTAATTGTAAACATGTTCCCAATCATTTTAGTTCAATTTTGGTTTAGTGGGATGACTATGGTCCTGTTATTCATTTGTAGCATCACTATTCTTAAGAGCCAGTGTTGGACCACAAGTGAAGTGGGTGTGAAATGTATAGCTCGATTGACATTATGTGACAACACGAAAAGATGCATTTTGACTCTGTTACTTATGACTTAATAAGCTTAATGGGTTAACGGACTTATTCGGCTCAGCCAAAATGTGGTGTTTACTTGGAGCTTATTTTTGTACAGAAATGGACTTATTCGTACAGATGGGAAAGGGCTCTTGTCTAGGTTCAGCCAAAAAAAAAAAAAGATAACCCTACCCCTTCATGTCTCCTTTATTGTGTACGCCTCCTTCTATATCTCATCTCAGATTTCACTTTTTGATTTTGTTTTCGTTTCAAGAACTGCATCTCCTTCCCAGATTCAAGAACTCAATTTTCTTTTCATTTTCTGATTTCGTTTCATTTTTTGATTTCATGTTCGTTTTCAATTCAAGAACTGCATCTCCTTTCGAGATTCAAGAACTTGAATCACCACTGCATCTCCTTCCTAGATTGAAGAACTCAATTTCGTTTTCGACTTCGTTTCAAATTTCTTTTGAAGTTTCTAAGGTTTGTTTTCGATTTTGATTTCATTTTCGATTTCCTTTGATGTTTCTGATAATTTTTGTTTATTGCTGTCTATTCCAGATTTCATTTTCGATTTCGTTCCAGGTTTCGTTTGAAGTTTCTAATAATTTTTGTTATCTGTTATATGTTCCAGATTTCGTTTTCGATTTCATTCCATATTTCGATTTCAAAACCCTCTTCACATTTTTGTTCTATGTTCATCTTTCCCAGAATCTAATCGTAACCCTCATCTCTCAAGTTCAAATTGTTCAATGATTGTTTATGGTGCATATTGTTCCTGATTTCACAGGGTTTTTTTATTGAAGTTTATCTAATGAACTGAAGGGTAAACGGTCATTTTCATCTTTCACACGGTTAATTCAGTAAAAAAAAGGAAACAATAACAAATTTTTATCTAGACACACAAATTTATCCATACCGACCGAACCAAGATATTTGGATGTCCAGCGAAACACAAGCCTATGAGTAGTTGGGGAAATCACAAAACTCAATTTACAGTCTTTGAAAGGCTGTTCAACTTACATCCCCGACGGTACAGCAAAAAACATTCTACCAACTAAAAAAGCATAGAAATCTACCCTAAGGGACAGAGAAACCAAACCAAAGTACCAAACAAACCCAGTATATCTCATCTAAAGTTACGGTATGCACGGGGTAGATTGTAAGCGTGCCTTACCTCTATCTCAAGAGACCGAGAGGCTGTTTCCACTAATAGACAGATTACAACGATAAAAATTTATACTCTATTCAAAAGACGAGACGAAAACAGAGGATCCACAGTTAAGGAGTTTGAAATGGATAATTTATAGAAAGCTTAAAAATGTATCACCTGGAAATCGTGTTTGGTCTCTGCACTTTGGTTTGTGACTGATTACTATGGTTTTTTCTTGTATTGGTTTATCGAGATTTGACTTTACTTGATAGCTTCATAAGTTCTTCTTCATCTTCGAGTTTCTTTCTCCTAGCAGCCTCTTCCTTTTGTCTTTGAATAAGTTCAAGCTCCCTGTGTCGTTCCTCTTCTTTGCGCTGAAGCTCTAGAGCTTCTCTTCTCTGAGCCTCTTCCACCCGCCTGCGATTCTCTTCCAACATCTTATCAAGCTCTTCTCTCTCTCTTCTCGCTTGCTCCTGGTTAACGTAACTTTGTAATTAGTAGAAGGTTTGGTAGATCGCTAAGTCAATCCATCATGTGAATCCAATGCACTAATCGCTCAATCAGATTTTTGTCGAACTATTACTAAGAATGGCCTATCATCCACCCAAGAAATAGAGGAAACAATTTTAAAACACTAAGCAGATGGGTTTTTTCTAGTAATATGATCCTCGCTTAGGGTACCAAAGTTACAAACTTCATGGTTCTATGTCGGGTTAGGTCCTAAATTCAATTCAGAAACTATGCACCAGAGTTAAAATATTAAATATGGTTGGGGTCCTAAATTCAATTCTCAGAATTTCCCTTTCTCCTTGAGCATATGATCATTCAGGGGATATCTTTAATCATAAAGACCCCTTGACTCAACGACAGATGTAGCCACACAACTGTTAGGGAAGATGGTAGGTGGTTGATGACCGTCAACCGATGAGATGGTGGTTGAGAGCTTCGAGAAGCCCTCCATTAAGGCGTTGGTCTGATGTCAGAACCCTTGCTGGTGACAATTGAAGGTGAATGTGCGTTGAAGATGCTAAAGGTTGAATGGGCTTGACACTGAGGCATGTTAAAGATTGGGGAGATTGGAAACCATCGAGGACTTGAAGATGAAGAAACAAACGGGCCTCTGGATCACTGGCCTAAAGCCAGCCACCAGAGACAACTTGATATTTGAAATTCAAACTTGTTTGTTCGCACACTTCCTAATGAGAGCAAAAGAGATTATTTATGTTATGTTTCTTAAAAATGGTCAACTAAAGTGGTTTTCAGGTATTCCGATGATAACCCATTTGAAGTAGCATAAATCATCATCTATTTGCTCTTGCCCCCTCTCCTCTACCTTTGCATAGGAATTCACTATTGAATGATTGAGTTGTTTAGTACAACATGCAATGCAAGGACTTTGCAAGGGGAATAGAAGTGATATACGAAAGATCTAAATTGCAAAGTCCATGTTTGACTTACAGGACCTGAACAGTCACCTGGTCAATATGATGCACACTTAATCCTGTTGGAGACTCTATCTCACTCTTTAAAATGGCATATCAGGCACTGGATTTCACTTACCTAAGGCAACTTGTATGGAGATTAAAAACTTTAAGAGGAACGTATGCAATTAATTGATAGCATACCAAAGCAAACAAGCTCAGTATACCCACCCTGAGGCGGGTTCTTCCAGGAGTTGGGGGTGTGTGTTGGGATGTATGCATACCTAACCTCTACTCCAAAGAGTAGAGTGGCAGTTTCCGTGAAGAACCCCTTGCTCAAAAAAACTTGAGGAAAAAGAACATAAGAACATTCGAAAAAGATCTTAAAAACAAGAAAGGCAGTTGTAAAATTTAAAAAGCGAGTTCAAACTTAGAAATTAGCAACAAATTCCAAACAGATAAACAAACAAAGCATATAAACGGAAGCAGGTACAAGAAAATGTAACCAAGGTAGGAAGGACATAATATGAAAGCATGGGATAATATGCAAAGGAAGGCAGATGAGTAGTAGAGGCAGTGAATAGATATGCTTACCTCCTTCTGCCTTGCTTCAGTAAGAGCTGCTTCCTTTTCTCGTTCAAGTTGAACCGCAACATCATCAAAAAGCTTCTTCCGGCCTTCTTCTACTCTCCTCTCTATTTCTAGTTTAACCTCATCTGACACCAATTTCTCCTCAACCCTTGTTCGGATTGCTTCTTCTATTCTCTTTGTCGTCTCCTCTTCTAAAATTTTGAGCTCCATCTCCTGTTCAAGCCTTAGAACACATGCTGGTAGTCAAGAAAAAGAAGTATGCACCGAAAGATGGGCACATCAATAAGAAGCCTGACATTGTGCTTCTTAAAGACAACTATTACAGGAGCAATAAGTTTCATAATTTCCTATTTAATGTAACAAAGTTTCAAAAATTCCTATTTTGTACCTATTTTGAACGGTAACATGTTGATGTTGTAACATCTGATGAAGTGGGTATCAAGTTTATCCTCCACTTCGCCGTAACCCTTCCATGAACTTTTCGTAAACGGGTATCCACAACATTAAATGTTACAACATCAGCATTCAGCAGGTTACAGGTCAAAATGGGTACAAAATAGGAAATTTTGGAACTTCGTCAATGATTGAGCAAAATAAAATCCTTTGTTACACAAAATATGAACTAAACAAAACTTTGATGCATTTTGCCCTTATAGGTAAGTCAACCAGTTTAAAAGTTTTAAATATTTGCACCTTTATCCCAACATAGCCTATAAGAATATATGTATTGAGCAGCAACTTAATAAATTTAGGCCTACATTGATGATCAAACAAGTGCCACTCACTTCGTTATTTCTAATATTTTCTGAAAATTCAACATAAAGCGTGAATAGATGGCAGTAAGCAAGAAAGAATAGTGTAATGTACCTTTTCTTTTCTTCTTCTTCTTTTCTTGATTTTGCAAGGGCAGTTTTGCGTTCAGTTGATGTGATACTCGGGCTTGGAGACTCCACAGGGCTAAGTGAAGAAGTCCTACTTCTTCGCCTCCTGTGACGCCGAGGTGTTGGAGACCGACTTTTTTTGTGTCTAGAAATTGGAGACCGACTTCTGCGGCGACGAGGGGTACCAGAATGACTTCTTCGCCTAGTTGATGTAGTAAACAGTTTGTTATAGAACCATACTTAAACTACTAATAATCTTCCTATATAACTCTACCTTCTTTATTTATTCAAAGAGAAAGGAAAAAGATTTCATGCTTCATCAACTAAAATTGAATGATATATTGTGCCGAGAGTGATCACCTTAAACTTTTATCTTTCATGTACCATCACCGAATTTGTGATTACAGTATTCTAAACTAACAAATTCACTCTCAATTCTTGCTAGGTTCTAAGAGCCTTTGAAGCTAATCCACCAATGCTACCTATCATTCCCCTTCACTAGATAGACTTCAAGTTGGTGATGGCTCCCATATTTACCGGGTTTTCTTGAATAAAATAAACCAATGTCTTTTTCTAGTCAATATATTTGGGCTAAGGGCATCAAAATGCAACGAGGTTTGTCTTGGTTCCTATTTAGTGCAACAAAGAATATTTTCTCAATGTAATAGAGTTTCAAATTTTCATACTTAATGTAACAAAGTTTCAAATTTCATATTTAATGTAACAAGTTTCAAAATTTCTCAATCAATGTAACAAAGTTTCAAGATTTCCTATTTAATGTAACATTTGATGACGTGGATGTCAAGTTTATCGTCCATTTTGCTGTAACTCTATTGATAGGTGTTAATTTATTAACCCAATTACATCATTTTCTTAATCATTTTCCTTTGTTTTGATCATATTACGTAATTTCTAAGTCTTATGTAAAATAGTAGTATTATGACATAATCTTATGTTATTTTGTTAATTATGCAGATTTTTGAAGTTTCTAGTCAGTCCAGTAGAACTTCTACAGGAGTCTTTTTTGCTGCACTGGTGTTGTAGCAATCCTACAGAAGTGTGCAATGGGCAGCATCCTTACTTTTGGGCCGGAACTTTGGGCTTACGACTTTTGCAGCAAATTTTGGACATAGGCTATGGGCTAGCTTATAGTTTAAGCTTCTCTTTTGTACTAGTTGACCTATCTTCCTTCCTAAGCCTTGTCTTTGTTATAAATAGGAGTTATTGCTAGCCTTAAAACTTACAATTAACCTTTGGGTTTAATTTAGCTTTCTATTTGCTTTCTAGCTTTTGGTGTTTAGTTTTCTAACTAAGGAGTCGAATTGTTCTTGTTCATTGTTATGTTGCTCTCATTTTCAAGATTAATCCAAGTTCTAGTATTTTAAAGTTCATCTTCTTCTTGTTTACTTTCGATTCTCAAAAGCTTTCTGATTTCTATTACAAGTTGGAATTAATCGATCATTGTTGCAATATATTGGATTCCATCTTTTGTGACTCATGATTAATTCCCTGATATAAAAAGACGTTTTACAAGTGTTTACGAGTATTTTTTCACTTTTACTTGGAGTGCAAGTTTCAAGTTCCTTACTTCATTTCTTGTAAGTACTTAGTTGTCTTTACTTTATGTCATTTCCTTTATAGTATTTTGCATTTCCTTGTACTTTACTTTTCTGCAATTTAATTTCCAGTATTTTACTTTTCATTGCTTTAATTTCCACTATTTTAATTACTGCAATTTATTTTTCTGTAATTTATTTTTCTGCAATTTACATTCTAGCAATTTATCTTTCAATCATTTATATTTCTACATTTTAAATTATAGTCTTTTACATTCTTGTAATTTATTTTCTGCAATTTACTTTTCCACATCAGTTATTTACTTTTCAGACTTTACATTCTTCGCAAGAAGAAACTGAGTGATGATGGGTTAAATGTCTTAGCTTAAGATGTAAGGGAAGACTAAGACCAAAGTTGATGTGAAAGTACATAGGTGTTTTATTAGCATTATTGTCTAACTATTTGTTTCAGTTTATTAATATTTATGTATGAAAAGACATTAACTTTCAGAGTTAAGATAAATAAGAAAACCTGAGATAAGAGAAGAAGGCTATAAAGAGCTTTAGTATCTGACAAGTACTATACTCCTACGGTGTAGGATGGTAACATTGTGAAGTGCAAGGATTAACGACGTCTAACATAAATGATATCATATCGATAGCACATTGGCCTGAGTGTACTCTTGAGAGACCGTCTGACTCGATAGTTGATACAGTGACAATACTATAGAACCATTTTGTGGTACTATAGGACTATTGCAGGGGTGCTATATCATCTCTCTAATGGATAACCTGTTTTGTGTCTAAATCAACCTTTACACCATGTGCTTCTTTTTACTACTGATACTTTCTTAGTTGTTAATCAAACCACCCAATTTTAAATAAAACAAATCCCTCGAATTTGCCATTTGAAGTTAGTTTTTAAAGACCGGACTTTTGAAGAACTTTACAAAGTTGTCTCTATGGGAACAATATCTAATACTTAATACCATTATTACTTGTTAACAAGACGATAATCGTTCAAGGTATATACTTGCACTAAGTTCTATTTTTGTGTTGAAATCTAAGGTCACATAAACCAAACAAACATCTATCGTACAACTTTGTTACATCGAGAAAAAAATCGGTCTTTACACTAAATAGGTATTAATCCAAACTTTGTTGCATTTCAATGCATTTTGCTCCAATCCTTCTCTTCTTACACTTGAAAATTATTTCTCGTTCATTTGTTTCTTCCTCAGTTTCCCACATGTTCCTCTAACTTCATCTATTTACCTTTCACACAGGCCAGGTGCATTCAAATATTGAGGATCTTATAATCATCTTAAGGAATTCAACCCTAATCATATCTCAACCTTTAAATTCAACTCTGAATGTGTCTGGTTTTCCATAAGCAACTGGAGTAAGCTATATACCCTATCTGTATCTTAAGTGCTGCATATATGAGTTTGTATTTCCCCTCTGTGCCTCATTTTGAACATACATATTGTTTACTATATGCATCAGATTAGTAGAATCACAGAAATACACAGTATTCAAAAGGAGTTAAAGTCAACCGATGTAAGCTGACCTGCTGTGACTAGTAGTGTAGGGCGAGCGGCTCCGATCCCTCCGGCGGCGCCGGCTGACCGGCGATGGCGAGTATCTCCGCCTGTAAGACGACGGAGACCTTGATATACTTCGAGGCATTATTCTCTTTATCAATATCCCGTTTTCGTTCTTTTACCCTAGAATTTTGCCATATTCTGGTGTTCAGTTGTGGAGGCCATAGACTGCTGGAGTGATCAGTCGAGGTCTGAGACCTTCCAAACATCTTATTAGGATCATTTTTCAAAATCCACCTTACATTTAAACCATATTTCATTACAGCCCTCAAAGCTATAGAAAATGACAGTAATACCCTTTTAGTTTCAAATTTACTTCATATTTGTAATTTTATGTACCTGATTGTTCAATCAAGTGTGTGAAAACTTTCAAGGTGCGTTTGGTTCGCAGAATGTTTTCTGAAAGAATGAAATGTGTCAAAAGAATTGAAATCTATAAAAAATTTGAATGAAATGTTATCAGATTTAACCAATTGTTTTGTTTGGTTGACAAAAAACGAAATGTAGTCTGTCAAATGAATTGAAATCTGTTTGTTTGGTTTACAAATGAATTGGAATGAGATAATGAAAAATTGACAAAAAATACCCTTTTTAATGTATCTTTGTGAATTTTTTTAATTATGAATAATATCAAGCAGGATGTGGTTCTTGTTGATAAACTTTTGCACTTCATTCAGATTTCATCAAGAACCCAAAACATCAGGATCTGAGCAAAATCGTAAAGGAGATAACAACTTGGTTGTAACCCTAATCAAAAAACCAAAAAGATCGTAACCTTAATCAAGAACCCAAATAGATCGTAACCCAAATGTATTGTGCCCCTAATCAAGAAGGAAATATCAGCGGTCGATAGTGAGCAAAATTGTAAACCAAATAGATCGTAACCCTAATCAAGAACTCAAATAGATCGTACCCTAAACAAGGAGGAGATAGCAGCTTGGTCGATCGTGAGTAATGATGAAGCAAAAGTGAGAAAACGTCCATCAACTTGGTCGATCTCGAAGATGATGCAAAAATCGGATCTAAGAAAATGTCCATTGGGTTTAAAGATGTAATGAGGGTATTTTTGTCATTTTAAATTTTTTTTTAAATGGAATGGATTTCAATTCCATCTGTTTTGTGAAATGAATGGTGAAATCGACAAATAAAGGAATCTTTGGAATTCAATTTCATTCCACTGCAAACAAAACATGGAATTTGGTCCACAAAATTGACCATTTCAATTTCATCAGATATTCGTCAGAATCCGAAAAACCAAACGTAACCTAAGGGTGTCTCCATTATTCTAGCTTCTAACAGGGTTGAATATTGTGGTATAAATATTTAAATATCGTCGTTATAAATAACTGAATAGTGTTTTTTAAAATAGTTTCATAAAGTATTATAAATAGATGATAAATTTCTTATATTAAATCACTCCATAATCACCAACTCGGCCATATACAAGGTAAATAATACAATTACAAAGTTCTCTAAGGGGCCGTTTACCAAACACTTACCAGGGTAAGCGCTTACCAAGTCGCGTTATCTCACCGGATGAATATGGTAAGGACCAAGAATCTTACCCGGCAAGTGCGAGACAAAGACCATGAGTCTTATCCGGTAAGTGAGTGCGACGACTCTTACCACAGTAAGAGGCTAAGAGCTTACCGGGTGAATTGTTGCATAGGATGTCGTTTTGGTGGACTAAAATCTTACTCGATAAGTAAATAATAGTGTTAAATTTTACCGGTAAGCACTTACCGGGTAAGTGTTTGGTAAACGGCCCCTAAATCTTCTTAACAGTTTTATTCGTTAATCTTATTCGGTATTCTTGTAATTTGACTGATCGAAGACATCTCTTCCCCACCACTAAAATAAAAATAAGGAACTTGACCTCTAAACAAAATTTTTGCATCCATCTCAAATATTATTACTCTTTATCTTTCTCCATCCAAAACCAACATCATGTTGTATTCTGTACACAAAGGTACATAAACAGATGTGCCAGTGGACACAAAATGTGTCTGATTGCAAGGTTTCTCTTACCTCGACAATATGAAACTAAATACTTCCTTTGGGTAAATATAAATATCAAAATGGCATAAACATCTTGTAAAACTAAACCAAATATGCTCAGTATATCCCACTCGAAGGAAGCAGATATGATATACACAGACCTGTCCTCTACCCAAAAGAACAGAGCAATTGTTTCCGTGAAGACCTCCGACTCCCAAAAATGTGAGAGAAAAAAGTTTCCCGGTTTAAAGAAAAAATTTGTACTTCAAACTTCAAAGTATTCCTGGGTTGAAGCTTGTGTATGCATATGTGTTCATGTACAGAAAACAAGGGAAAAGACAAGATAAACATAGAGGAATATGATATTCCTTCCATTTCAAAATTGTAAGAACCCTAAAAAAAGAGACTTGATATACATTTTCTAATCACTAAATCAGTTGATTGAACAAGTAAACTTTCACTTCTACCTTGGCAGTGATTCAGATACAATGTACATGTGTTGCAACTTGCTAGCCGTTTCGTGTATACGATTATTTATAGCACCTCTTTTTCAAGTTTTAACACGGCCATAAACGCTTCTTGAGGCACATCGACTTTTCCAATCGCCTTCATTCTTTTCTTTCCTGCAGCCTGATGACAACCCGTACATGACAAATTATTGCAGGGATTTTATAGCCAAAACACACAAGGTCCCCAAAAGTTAGGTCAAAAGTGTGTAACTCACCCAACAACAGAAATGAGGAAACAATACGGATCAATGAACAACATACGGTGTGAATCGACAATAATAACAAGTAATCAACACAACAAAGCCACAACACAAAGATATAATGATGTTCCATGGCCTCCAAACGAGGCCTAGATGATGTATATTACTAAAATAAGTAGAAGGTTACACAGAATGCTTACCCAAAGGATTACATTCCACAAATGTAAGCAACAAACCTATCTACTTCGAACTAGGAGAGGGGAGATTGCCTAAAGTGTTTGCCCAAATGTATTTTGACCTCCACACTCAAATGAGCCCCAAAACCCAGTATATCCCGTCACAGACCCTATATGAGACTTATACGCGACGTGGAGGTCGTGCCCAGGTCAACCACACAAAAAAGAGACGTGACCTCTCACGCGAGTCGCGCGGAGTCCTGCCCCCTGCGCATGTGTGTTCATGTCACCATATTTCAGAAATTATATGGTATAAATTACATATATATAATGAATATAATATTTAAAAAATTTACTAGAAATCGCTAAATTTTTCCTACTTTCCGCAGTTCACTTCCCTGCCTCTGCCCTCACCCGCAAGTAAAATACTTAAGTTTTGATTGACTAAAGATTAAAGCTATGCAATTTTATTATTCTATACTATAAATGTCATTGTATATGTATACAAAATGCAATTGCGTAGACGGGAAAAATCCCTGATTCCAGGTTGGGGATGGAGATTGCTGTCTCTAAAGACATTCTTCAAATGGCAGACACTATGAGGATGGGAGTAAATACAGTAACAATTTCCCTGGAAATGAGAATACCACTTCCATCAAGCATTAATTATGTTGGTAATTTGCTTCACCCATAGGGTTTTTTTGGGGGAAGGGGTTCCCATACCCTTTGTTCGCATAAGGTCGATAGCCCGGGTATTATTTTCTCAACATGCTTCCATAATAGACAAGTAAATACTTTGGCTATCGAGTGGTTGTCTTGCTTGAAGGTTTTATGACAGCAAAATAATACACTTTTATATATGCTAATGTCAAAAAGAAGAACAACACATTCAACAAATCTCAAAAAATCAAACATGGCCTTCAAAGAAAAAACAAACAATTACCTGTTTCTTTAGCAATTTCTTCTTCCTTGAGATGTCACCACCTACAAAGAAATTAGGAGATGTACATTACCATTAAATGTAACTGGAAGCTTCATTCTAACTAAAACATTATACCTACAGAAACAAAACGATCAATAAAAGAAGGCATTTCTTGTTCCCGGAAGGAAAAGAAGATACAAGATAAATAAAAACAGACCTATGAAACATTAGTGGCTAGAAAAAATTAAATGCACACTTACCGTAGCATTTGGCCAAGACGTCTTTCCTAATTGCCGACAAACTTTCACTAGCAATCACCTTAGTACCTATGCATGCCTGGTATTACAAATATTACCACATAAGTAAAGTGATGTTCGTTCACACACAAAAGGGAAAAGCTTTATCCACCAAGGAGAAACCGAAAACCAAGCTAGGACTGCAAACCGAGATCACTAACTGTGATTTGAACTCTCAAAGCTATTGAAGCAAATCCTCACAGTTCTCTCCTTATTTTCGCGCTCTTAACAGATGGGAAGCAAAGTGCTATATTTATACTAAAAGCCATACAAATTCCAACACGATCCAAATGCTAGAAACTTGGAATTTCGGATTTATTATAGGGCACAGCCTTGCCAAAAATCCCAAAAGTTTCTATTGCATAATTTATCATTGTGCACAATCGTGCTTGGTGTCTTTCTAGGGTTTTCGCGTTTTATTGTTTTGTATCACAATCTTCAACATGATATTATTGTGGATGAATAAATAGCCAATTCAAACCAATTTTACATACTAAATACACACAAGCACACATGTGGAGGTGCATATATTGGTAGACACATCTATGGTTATACAGCTGGGACAATTGTTTATCAGCATCGTAAATGGCAATGGCTTAGCTCTTAAATAAATAACTTTGAAGGGAACCAAAAAACTAAGATATTGATCATTTATGCACTAAATTAACTTTTATAGGCATTAATATTATTAATTGGAAGTAGCTTAACCAAAAGTCCAATTAGTATTTCCCAGGTACAGATATATGATAGATAAGCCTTACTTGGATGGGCACTTTGAACATTTGTCTAGGTATAAGTTCCTTTAGCTTCTGAGTCAAAGCCCTTCCCACAGAATATGCCTGTAAAAAAGAGAAAATAAGTTTGTATCATTATAACCTGTCAAAGAACAAGGTGCAGCAAATTGGTAAAACATTTATCATCAACAATTTGAGCATACTAAGAGGTAGAAATTTCTAAGACCTACTGGGCAGTGCAAATATGGTTGATACTCAAAATTTCTACAACCCCACAAAAATGTATGAAGATTGAGAAATGATGCACACATTTCATATATTATCTTTAAATGGATTATAAAGAAACTTTAAGATTTAAATCCAAATCAAGATAAACAGAAGAATTTCAGTGCAACTGCAGTTGTATCACATCTAATGTAATCTACGCAAGAACATATGTACATACGACTAAGTCATTCCTTTCATCTTCTCGATCCAATTTGAAGAAGGGAAAATGACCAAAATACCTTATCTCTATGTACGATTGTCGACAAAGGCTCCACACCTTCACTATTTATCAACACATCAAGCTTTATCAAATCACTTTCCTTGTACCTGCAGTCACAAATAGATTATAAATTGAACTGCATTAGATAGATTTATAGTATCTGCATTTCCATTTATAAATTGATGGCATATTTTTTCTTAAATATCTGGTTCTAAAAACATAAACATATGCTCGTTATGATCTAATTTACCAAATGTAATTTCTTAATTATCTCATAGATGGATGCATATCAAGTTCTTTTTTTATTAACCTGGATATTTAACCCGCTATGCGAGCCGACTAATCCCATGGCGACCACCTGCTTTGCAGATTGCCCGGAGTCACCGCATTTGAACCTCCATGGCGACAAGGGGATTTTTATTCCTCCTTGGATTTAAACCTGGGACCTCCAGGTACTTTCGACCTTTGGAGCCAAGCTCAAACCAATCAGGCACCACCCTTGTCGTTACATATCAAGTTCTTTTCAAGCTACATGTGTGAAACATTATGATGGCATACTTTTTCTTGAGCAAAATTTGGTTCAACATGTGTTGGCTTAAAGCAAAATATTTTGAATAACGTAGTAATTCAACTGCATCCAGGAACACCAAAGCTAATCAACCATCCTTGAACATTTAAGTGGATGATGAGGAGGGGGTGGAGAGGTAGTTGGGGGCTTGGAACGGTTAGAGAGTTAAAAGGTAGGCATCGACGTACTAGGATGGTTGGATAGGTACCAAAGCCGTAGGTTGGGGGAGGGTTAGAGAGTCAAAGCATAGGCCAAGGTACTAAACCACTAAACGGACTAAGGACGAAGTACCTGCTTTTCTAGCATTTATGTTTCATCTCTTTCCTATATTGCAAACTTTTGTCTAACTAACCAAACATTTCTCATTTCTTGCTAAATAATGTTTTCTAAAACTTTTTACAAGCCGGGGGTCTTTATAGAAACAGTCACTCTACAGACTCGACCCCTCAATGTTATGGTATGCATACATCTTACACTCCCCAGACTCTACTCAATGTGGGACTCACCGAGTTTTTGGTTTGGCTTTACAAGGTAAATATTGCTTCAGAAAAGGCTTCTCATGACAAAATTAAACAATCCCCTCATTCCCGTTCCCCGTCCCTTCCACCCTAGGGCCCCCCCCACATGCACACACAGAACCCCACAACTCAAACACATGTAATAGCTAAGGTCATACAATTAAAAAAAATAACTACATCAACTAAATAGAGGTTACCCAATAAAAGAATACTCCATACTAGCATAGCCCTTGCTTCTTGATTTCAGTTGATCAAAAAAATCCCCTACCATCTGAAAAGTGATACATGGCACTTGGATTTTAAGTAGAAAATCATAAGGCAAGATGTAGTGGACCTTTTTACAGAAAAAAAAGTGGTTTGAAAATATAAACAGACTCTTGATTTCGAAATCTCATCCTTTGGACAAGGAATCTTAGATTTATATCATGGAATAACCTCAGCTAGTGGCATCTCATAGGTGAGTGAAGCTCTAGTCTCCGTAATATATTTCATTTCTTTAAAATCTCCTCGTCGTTCTTGAGTAAGTTCCATGAGTGAACCAATATAGTCCTTTGGGGTGAGCATCTCAATCTGTAGAAAGAATATAAGCCATTAAGATTTACCAGAGCCTCTGGTTGTACTAACCAGAGTTTCTGGTTCATATAAATTCCTTAGTGTTCTTTTGCTAAGCTTTTAATCAAATAAGATAGCCTTATTAAATGGAATAGCCATACAGAGCCTCTGGTTGTACTATCCAGAGCTGCTGGTTCAAAAGTTATGACCAACCAGAGCTTCTGGTTCAACGTGCGAGTCGACTAGAGCCCCTCTGGTCTGTCTTTCGTATAAAATACTAAGTATAAAATTCCTTTCCTTGAAAACTTTTTAAAACATGTTTTTGACACAGAAGCTCTTATCAAGAGATACAGAGCCTCTGGTCCAACTAGTATGCTTAGAAAAACTTGCATAATCATCAAATCAATTAACAAGAACCTTATGGTCCAATAGTGAGGACGAACCAGAGGTTCTCTGGTTCCTCATCAAATGTACATTTCTGTACCAAAATACTTTTTGCCAAAACCAATGACCATAGGCCATATTTTCCCCTTACCATAACATCAATACTACTATTTCCAATAAGAACAACATCTCTGAATCCTCAAATCACCAAGAAGAGAGAACTCCAATATGTTGTAATCTTATTAGATATAATAGCAAGAGTTATATCATGCATACACACACAACGACCATCCTTATTTCCCCTGAAATTCAGATGAACTATTTCATCCAATGATAGGCTACAGACCTTTCTGTCAGAGTGAACCTCGTTCATAGTTTTTATCCAAATCATATTCTTCAACATAGGTTTATATTCAAACCTTTCAAATCATAAGAACACTCTATTCTAGATCAAATTGCTCAACTCATCTTGTTCTTCCCAAACAGGGCATGGTTTTAAAACTGTTTCTAAAGAACAATTTCTGATTAATCTTCCCAAAACAGGTTCTAATCTTTTGAACCATAAAATACTTCTTTCAAAACTGTTTAAAAGCAGCTTCCACCAAATCCCTTCTAAATCTCAATCATTTATAAATATTATAGAATTGAACAACAGATTGTAAACTTATGGTTATAATAACAGGTTAATAAAACTCACAGTTTATATTCGACGGTAGTTTAAAACTCACCTTGATAACACAGATTCTGCAGGTTATCACACATCAATTAAAAGATTCTTTAAATAGCAAATTTCTTCAAGAGATGCTCTTTACTGCCTTTAAATTTATCTTGTATATTTTGTAAAATAGTGAACTGATTAGGTTTTTACCTTATCCATTTTCTTTTATACTTAGGATGAGGCGGCGATGGGTTTATTTTTAATATAAAATCATTTATAAATCATAGATTAAGCAAGAACATACAATACCATAAGAGAGAAAACTATAAAATAGTGGCAAACCTTCACAATTGGCTCTTCGACCGACCTCCTCTTGCCAGGCTCAGGAAGTAATGATGGGTTTGAACATTCAACCTAAGCAAGTGGGGAGAACAAGGACAGATGAAACTAAATGCATACTCAACAGTGTCGAAGCAAAAGAAAAGAAACAGGAAAAATAAGTTCTGAATCTGCAAGAAGCAAAAAAGTACAACGACAAAGGGAAATGGAGAACAGGATTGGATAAACAAAATTTAGGGAAATGTCACTTATATAGACTGGTCTAATCTTAAAGCACAATAACTCTAACCAAAAATCAAAAACAAAAACAAAAAACAGACTTAATTATAGTGGAAGGATGCTAAATAGAACATTACTAAATCTACGCCGAATAAACTGTAACTTCTAATCCTCCTCGGCTTGGAACATAACACTCTTCAACATATAAGAACCCAACCCCGAGGGGCAGCTTGGTAAGACCTTCAGTTTGCTCCCCACAGGTCACCGGTTCAAATCCCCTCTGGACAACTGGAGGCTTTGCCTGGCTGTTAACTTCAGAATCCCATGGGTTTAGCCGAGGTGCACGCAAGCTACCCCGAACACCCACAATTACCAAAAAGAAGACATATCAGAACCCAAACTTCATAATTGGAAGACTCTTCACTTCCCATTGTGATTACACAGAAAACTTGAAAGACCTTCTGGAATCACTACTAGGGTCAAGAAAACATTAGCAGGCAACACAGATGGTTTCAACATCCACAAAGCAAACAACCTCAACCTAGATATAAACACATTATCAACCTAAAGAAAGTGTCCATCCCCAATATCAATCTCTAAAGAACTGACCCGTCAGATAAAAACCCTACTTTTGGAGTTTGAATTCCATAGGATGACAATAGACCCCTTGACTTCTAGGAAATGACACACTGGGATCCTCCACTTTAGAGGAATGACAGATGAGTCCCTGGATTTGTACATAAAACTATTGTTAGCTCCTATAAGTGATGGTCCTAGACGTATTGCAACTGAAGAAGACTAGCAGCTCTGTAGAAGAGGCAGTAAAAGTTATGATGGCGAGCTTCCCTAACGCGGCTCAGGACTAAACTTTCTGTTGACACCAAGAACCAAAACTTAATTACTAACAGACAGCATCCAAGACTGAATAAGCAGAAAAACTGAATTACTAGAAACATGTTGGAAACTGATCAAGCAGAGACATATTAGAACAGTAGAAAAACTTCAAAGCAAACAGAAAAAGAAAGCATGACAGCACGTTCTTAAGACCAAGAAAGAATAGCAGTGGGACCCAACTGGAGCAGATTGCAGTGACAGCAAACAGCATCTGCAAAATAGAGCTGAACAGATTTGAAACAAAAATATGAATCTCTGGAAACGGCTAGCATAACAAAATACATTCCGCCAACGTGTGTAGTAGCAATACAGAATAGAAGAGAAACTCGGAAGGCTCTGCCATGGGCCATTGAAGGCCCCGTGCCCTGGAGGTAAAAGTATGGCTCTTAGGGTTCTCTCAAGTTCTAACCCCTACCTGGCTATGACTCCATGTAACGATCAAGGTTCAAAAGCATACTTATATCAAATAAGAGATCATGCATATATACACATACACTAAACATGTGTAAAAAGACTCTTCAATCCACACAAAAACGAAAATAACCCCAGATGAAATAGGAAAAAAAACTTAACCCAAACTCTAAAAAACCAAACTTAATATTAGTATCACTTCTAACATCCTCCTCAAGTTGCACCATAAACAACATAAACAAAGAGCAATCTGTGGAAATTGTAGAATCCAAACATCCACACAGGCATACATATGCTAGCAGATAACATTCTCAACTTGAAAGAGAGAACATTCTCAGAACATATCAATACTTGTAAGGAGTTCAAGTATGCAAATGTCCATAACTTAGCATTTTGACGCATCCTCCAGCATTATATAAACTATCAAAGGTTTTGTTGGAGTTGTACTAACTTCCAGTTCTGCATAAGAAATGTGATCAAATGACAGAAATGCAACTCACTTAACCAACAGTATGTTTGCAATCAAATGACTACCTTCATAAGATAACACACACAATTTAGTTATGAGCATCTGAGTTATAAGAGAGTTTGACCTTGAAATGCATTAAAACCGATTACCACAATTGATGGTGTTTCCTGTCTATAATATATCAAGTATATTAATCCAAGACAGTTTGTGTCCATAAGCACATAGTCCTTTCATAAGGAAGCATTTCTATGAACATACAATTGTATTAGAATATAGCACAAAGGAGAAGGAGAACATAATGGAGGGAAAGAAGAAGATATAATGAACAGAACTCACAGTTTCACCATTGGTGCAGTTCACTCGGTACACAACACTTGGCGCAGTAGTTATTAGCGACAAATTATATTCCCGTTCAAGTCTTTCCTGTGCAATAAAACCATCGTATCCATGAACATAAAATTTATGATAACTTGATTATAGAGATCATCGATGAAAGACATCACCCATACCTGAACAATTTCCATATGAAGAAGGCCCAAGAACCCACATCTAAAGCCAAAGCCCATAGCACTTGACGTCTCTGGCTCAAACTAGAAAAATCAAAGATAACAATAAACACAATTCCCCTAGTAACTAATAGAAATAAACAGCACAGCCACTGTGTTAGATAACCAATACATAGATGAGTGGTAATATGCATAAAAGGGTTACCAAGATAGAACTCGGATAAAATACAATAGTAAATTCTGCAGGCTGACAGTAAGATCAGCCATGCTTGATGGTTCAGCATGTTAGACCACCAGCATGATGCACAGCAGACATTGACGAAAGTAGCATTGACAAATAAAACTTGTGAAGAATCCTGAATTTCAGGATGATGTGCAACAGAGACAAGATATTGATTTCGAAGTGCTATTTGGGCATGTAATATGCTTTTCAGTTCTAAGAAAGAGTTCAGTAGTTTCTGAATCGATAAATGATGCAATATGAAGTATTGCAATGACAATATTTTTGGTTTAGAAACATACTGATTTCAGATTAACATTTAAATTAAGAAATAAATGATCTTGAAAAGAGCCAAATTGTCTTTTATCACATTTTTTTCTTCAGATAAGGGGATATAGTGATGTCTTAAGAAACAAACATTTTCATTTGCATTCAGTACAACAAATGTGGCAAATCAACACAAACACACAAACGAAGAACTTACCTTTAATGCGGCATCATTAAGCTGCAGTTTATCCAGTGCATCACGTAAATCTGGAAATCTGTTACAACGAATGATACCAATCAATGATATCACAGATGAAGGTAAAAAGGTGCCATAGCAATGTAGCTTTTGAGGTAAGTAATAAGAAAGAAAATAGCTGTACTGGTCTGCATCGATAGGAAACAAGCCACAGAACACCATTGGAGTGGCCTCTTTATATCCAGGCAGTGATTGCTCTGCTTTTCTACTATAGTGGGTTATGGTGTCACCCACCCTAGCATCTGCTACTGACCTTATTGAAGCTGAAATGTATCCCACCTGAAACAGTAACGTTAACACTAAGACACAAAGAAATGCAAATTCACAATGTAAGTCATGAAATAACCTTCTAGTAAGTCATTTCATTCAGTATCACCAACTATAACTAAGCCACAAACAAAATAGCATTTAAAGGACACCTAAAAGAATAGTGTTACTGGTCACTAATCGATTTTTTTTGTCAATAGATCCCCAAAACATCTTTTGATCTCCTATGTAATGTCTGGTTATCATTTTAAAACCTAGTCAGCAGCCTTTCTGAAAGAAAAAAAAAAGAAGACAAGGAGAACACCAGATTTGGCAAACCTGGGTCTCCTAGGCTCAACGTAGAGGAATGATAAATCAGAACGTCAATCTACATTATGCTATAAAAGATAATTTTCTATGTTTGGAACATTTTCCAACACATATCAGGAACTGAGTCATATGACAGGCAAGCATTGATCTTACATCCTTGGATTTATCTCCTCGTGAGTGAATAATATGTCCTTTGATGAACAAAAAAATCCTTTGAGATGGTATACTTCGTCCATACAAAGGTTAACTGTGACGGTTATTATAAGCAATTAAAGTTTGACCATCATATTGTTCTTTTAGGATAATAGGGGTTTCACAAATGGAGGGTTTTCTTTCTTTTTCTCTTGTAGACGAAGGGTGTAGTAAGAAAAGAACACAGATAATTGCAAACATCATCCCCCAGCAATCACGATAGGATCGCCTAGCAAGACAGGCCAATAAAAGTAAACCAGAATATTATCATCAAGAACACCAAGTTAGTAGCATTAAAATGTATTCCTACCTCACCAGCATATAGTTCATCAACTTGCAACTGATTAGGAGATAGAACTCCAATTTCATCTGCAAAATAATCCTGCATCATGCCATTTGTCAACAACAATTAAACCTAAAAGACAACCTTTAAGATTTTCAGCTAACTTATGTCTCTTGCAAGGACCAAGAGATATAAGCACTGCAGTTTTCACTCAATCAGATTAAACAACCTGGAAGCACATATATTATCAGAAATGAAAATAGACAAGTTGAAGTATGTGGTTTTACCTTCCCACTAGCCATAAAAAGAATTCTGTCACCTTTCTTTACAGTTCCATCAATAACACGAAAATATACAATAACACCTCTGTATGCATCATAGTAACTGCAAATTTCATAGACATGAACAATAACTCACATAACTGTTCCTGTAAGTATGAAGTATGATAGTAGAGAAAAAAGATCACATGCTGTAAAATGATTAACATCAAAAAGTAATGAAACTGGATGTGGTGAGAGATCACAGTGTGATCTCACTGCAATGTGCTATAGCACATATGTCATTCAAGAAGAAGTGTACTGGATGCTTGAAAGTTTCAATCTAATATACAATGGTCATGGACATTGACGTGCAGACCATACATAAGTATACTCATCAGATTACTCGCTAAGTAACGTAGTTGATCAGAATGAAAATTCCGATGAACTGAGGACATGTGTTTAAGGTTTTAAGTTCATAATCTGAACCAACCCCACTGCATCAGCACTGAGTTTATGTGTCACACCCTGCATTAATTTCAAATTTATTTCTCTTGAAACTAACAAATTTAGCAGCTATGAAAAGCAGAACTTCAGAATAATTAATTAAATCACACTCTACCATTGTCTTCTACATGGTCAACTGGGAATGAATTCATACTTGGCATAATGCTATGGAAAGATATGTTAATAGAGCAAGCTTTTGGTTTTACAAAATAATGAAGAGACACAAGACGATTAAGCTATCAAACATTTGGACTGTAAAATGCTGAAAGAGTTAATACCTATCAAATATAAGAGCTCTCAAAGGTCTTCCAGCAGAATTAAGTGGTGGAGGGATCCTCTGAACAATTGCATTCAGTATTTCCTTTATACCTATTCCCTCCTGTAACAAACAAACAGTCTCCATGTTACCAATTAACATCTTAAAAGATTTCACCAAGCCCCTATCACTTAGTCCTCTTTCAACTTTTTAGGAATATATTAGCTGATGATTTCCCAGAATGGATATTGGCAAGAGTTGACTGAAACTTTAGCATGCATACTTTTAGTGGATGACTCGTTGGACAGTTGGAAGGAGACTTCTTTCGATTAAAAAGAAATTGAAGAACTTCATTTTTCTTGATTAAATAAAATCAATTGCACATTGTAGACTAGACTAAACTTATTTTACTTTTGATCTTTAGCATTCTTCTAAACTAACGATGTCAAATGTTACAGAGGATAATTATATTAACTAACCTTTGCTGAGCAGTAAATAGCATTGCTGCAATCCAAACCAATAACCTATTTAAGAAATACAAAGAATTAGATAGTGAGGAGCCCAAGTAGCTCCAATGAACTAGTACAAGAGCAACAACTAGACTAAGTGAAGATGGTGAAATTCAGAAATAAGATATACACAAAAACCAAAGGATTAAAAGTTCTCGTGAGAACAGGATCACCACAGTGAAACCGCAAAAATATAATCCGAAGAAGATTAACGGAAGGAAAATAAAAAACGCAGTTTCATACTTTTTGGATAATTCCAGGTATTGCATTGTAAAAACAGGACTTTACATTAACACCAGACATACCCCTGTATATTACACAAAACAAGGGAATCAGATATCTATATAAGTCAGAGGATTACAAAAAATGGTCCAAGAGCTATTGAACCCAATTAACTACTTTCAAAAACCAAATATGCACCAACTCTTCAAGAACCAAAACCAAGTCAACATAAACCATCTTGCTGAAAGAGAGAACAAAAGATATAAAGTTACCAACTCTTTTCCTTGTTACATTAGGCTTGGTATTTCCTAGTTGCATTAAGGTTAGATTTGGTTTCCAACCACGCTTGGTTTTGTCTTTGGTCTAAGGCTCCTTGTATTTGTTCCCATATTCTAATAACATGTACATCTCTGTTCTAATATCTTAACATGGTATCAGATATGTATGTCAAAACTTGAACAAATGCACGAGAGCTTTGCTTCCACCACCAATAAAACTAGTCTCAGTGGACATACTGTGTGCTCTTTGTGATCTGTTATGCTGACTGAACCTGTCTGCTCTCTCGGTTGTCTGATGTCTTTTGGCCATACAGGAGCTCTATTATGGTTTTTGGCTCCCAATATCCTGTCTGATCATTTTTCAGTTTGTTCCTGCAGAGGTGTATCCCTCTTCCTATTTTAGTCTGTGCACACTGACTCTGATCAGTTACGCCTGTTTGGTGTTCCATGGAGGTGTTCCTGTTTTGGTTTTTCCTAAAGTTTTTGTTTCTGCTCAACCGATTTGCAACTCTTCTAGGAGGTCGATTGCTTTGATTTGTTTCCTCTGCTGAATTTGTTTTGCTCATTCAGTTGCCATCTGTTTTTGGTTGCATAAACGGATCACAAGGAAACACTGATTGATTCGCCTTCTGGTTCAGTAACTTAGATGTCATTTTGTGGATCACAATAATTTGATCTAGGTATGGAAGGAGGTTGATCAGAAGTTCAGATCTCGTTCGTCTATCAAGATTGGCATGCTGCCACTTCCCAACTTGAGACATTTTTGCATGTTAGCGCTTTAGTTTACTGCAGCTAACATCCACTCTCTCTTGTAACCCATCAAGCATCAGAGTTCTAGTTACCAGCAATCTGTAAGATCGGGATGAAATTCATAGAATTATTGGTAGCAAAATTTCCTTTCTATTCTAGAGAGAAGTTTGATGTAGTTTAATCTAGGATTCTAGTATCTTAGATCAAGTAGATCTCTATGAGACTTAATGCTACAACGAAGTGTCTAATTATATATTTGTTTTATTTATAATAGTTGTAATGGCGATTAAAAATGATCAGTATCCTACTTCTAATAGATACGCTTTCCATAAGAAGACTCTCTTCTCTTGTCGATGTTCTTTTTTATTCTCTCCCTCTCTGTTACCTTCCTTACTACCATCATGTATCAATGTGAGACAATTGTTAAATAGTATTTGTGCTTCATGCTTTGGGGAAATGGCGATTAAGATATCCTACTTCATATGAATCCATTTTTTCCAGTAAGCTTTAACTTCAATTTCTTGTTATTTGTCATCATCAAACCAGGTTCATATGGAAAAGTTGATCACTTGTCGATTGGTTGCACTCTTGTTACCCTTTCATACAAAACCTTCTATTTCTATTGGGTATAGCAGTTACGTAGTGGAAAATAGTAGTTCATATAATAAAAGAAAACATTTATATACATGCAAAACATAATATGTTAAATATGTAATACATATGATCTAATACTAACATCAAGTCGGGCAAATCAAGTCTCACACAAACAAAATAATAGAAGAGTTTGTAAGGTCCACGAATGAGCTAATTACAGGCCACACATTCGACATCTGAGTCAACATCACTTAATATATACACTCCATCTAGGTCATCTTCTCCTTCTTCCCTTCATCTCCAACCTCATCATCATCCCTATAGCAGTCACTTTTCCTCCTTGTATTTGGCCCAATTTCAGAATTATCTCACATTGCTTCTCGCACATCTGACCAAAGGAGACCATCACTTGCATCCAAACTCTTGTAGATCGACATCCTAAGGATTTGAAGTGTTTCTATAGCCTTATGTTGTAGTGTATGGATATGGGATCATTCAATTTTAGTTGCAAAATATTCAACACATTTAGATTATTAGATAGAGCAGTTTCCATTACATGTTATATTGGAACAGAAATAACTAACGGAAAAGATGTTCTAAAGCAAAATCACATCAAATTTAAAAACAAACACAATTGCCTCCTGTGAACTAACCTCTTCAATCTCCTGAACAACACGGTTTGGTTCAGCACCTGGAAGATCTATTTTATTCAACACCTGTAGCCGTGAGAAAGAAAAAAGGTGTTGGATAATATGGTTAAATATCAGCAGTAGAGGCTGTTACACTATACATCCATGATTTAGGACATAAATCCTATAGGAGGACAAAAATAAAATGTAAAAGCAGAGAGCGAGAATTCAAAATACACGTATAAACATGTTTAAAATCTATGGTAGACAAACAAAGAACACGCTGCCATCAACTTACAGGAATCACTTCAAGGTTGTTTTCCAAGGCCAAATAAACATTAGCCAATGTCTGCGCTTCCACTCCCTGCAATATAAGGTTGAGCTCTCACTAATCAAATTGCCACCAGTTATATAAGTAGAAGAGAACATCGTCATGTAAAAGCTTCCAATCCTAGATTTAGAAGGTGGAAAAAAAGAACGAGCTTGTGAACTTAACATGTGTTGGAAAAATCAGATTTATTTAGTGGGTGGTGGTGACCAAAGGTGCCTTGGTGGCAAGTTTCCGGTAGGGCTTGCAATAGGGGTAGACCAGCACCCAGTGGCTGCAGTAAGTGTTATAGCTGTATAAAATAGTGACAGCGTGGATAACTGTTCTAATACTGTCAACAGTTTGTCTCCTCATGATCTGCAGTCTAGTTCTTGTTTTTTTTTTATTAAGTGGCATGATATTCCATATCAGCAAAAATTTGGGGGGAAAGCCTAAACATTATTCCCTCATGGTTGGTTTTTCAAAGGTGACAAGTGCTTGCCATCTACCGGACTGCTAATAGGTCAATTAATCATGGTTAAGGCTAATCGGGCCTCGATTATCAACAAGAACAAGATTTTTAACCAAACTAGTTGGGGTAGGAGGAGTAGGATACAAATGGAGCCAAAAGAATCTATAAAAATAGTTAAACACATAAGCAATAATTAAGAGAACCTCTTAGCAGTACATTTGAATTTCCACACTTGAGATGCCCAAACAGCCTCAACAGTGTTGTCTTAGTTTCTTCACAACATGTATCTCATAGAACTCATTTCTAATACCATCCTTCATTGTGTATCCCGACAATCCGACATCCACCTCAACATTTGCATTTTATGTTACATTCATACGGTTTGCATGCTGCCCTTTAGTGGCCCCACACCCTACCCGATACCTTGGCCCTCAAGTATTTAATACTTTAAATTGCTTTTGGCTTGATGTATGCCAAATAATGAAACATCTTTTGATGATAAAAAATAATAAATTAATATAGAATGTTTAGCCATTTGAATTTAACGTAATGCTACATTATTTTGAATTGTTCTTTCTTGGTCATACATAATGTAACGCGAGAACAAGAATATCTAAGAAATTGAACACTCTTGTATATGCTAGCTTGAGCAATGTGATGCTTCTACTTTTCAGTGAAGTCGAGTTAAACATGTCTACATCTTCATAATCTTTCTCAAATCACAAATTCTAAGATCCTTTCCGAGAATCGTCCCTGGGACTTCCAATCTTGTTGCAACCAGGCTCAACGACGTCAGTTTTCACTTAACTCTGTAAATCGTCTGCAGAAACTATTGAAAGAACAGCCTTCTCCAATACACATACAGAAAATCAATCATTTTTTAAAGTCCAAGATCTGTGTAGGAATTCTAGCACAAACACTACTAGTTCTCTTGTTGTTCAATATTAGCATGATATGGTATGAATTAATTAGAATCCACGAAAATAGAAGATACGTCTTGAAACCAAGGCAGACCATAATAGCACAAGTAATTCAGCGAAAAGGGCCCAACTCTATAAAAAATTGAAAGACTTGCCTGTGAGGCATCTACAACAAGAAGAGCACCCTCACATGCAGCAAGAGAGCGAGAAACCTGCAATCAAGAAAAGAGCAGACAGACTGTACATCACTCGTCAGACAATCATATATTTACAGAGAAATCTGACAATTACTAGAAATTTCACAAACAGGCAGAATTCAGTAAAATGGAATGCCAGCCAACTACAATGGAGTAGCCCTTCTTTGTTCCTATGTTGTGAAGTTTTTTGAAAGTGCATGGAGTTGAAGAGAAAAGTTCAACAAGCATCAATAACTCATCTTGGAGCTAACTTTACCCAATGCCTTTTCCCAGCCCCTAAGAATTACCTGGAAAGCTGGCCAATCCGGAGCCCTGGACACACAGATCAACACATCTGAGGTCCTCGTTTGTTAATACAAAAATGAGAAATTGCAATAAGCGACTATAATGAAAAGGTAAAAAAAATACAGGCTATTCCTGTATGAAGCCTGGAAAAACATCGATAAGAACTCGTTTTTTAAATGTATGATAGGGAGTACTATGCAGATATCACATCATAAAATAGTAATATGGAGGTTCTAACACCATCAAAGTGAAAAATGATCTGCAGGGGAATAGACACCTGCTCAAAGCGTGGACCATAGAATAAAATGCATGACTGAAATGAAGAGGTAAGCTACCTATTTTCCTAACAGAAGTTAGGCTGTAAGGCTATGTAAATATTATGCACTGGTCAGAAAACTAAACTATAAATGACATTGATTTCTATAACATCAAAATAGTACATAAAACACAATTTGTGCATAAACCCCCACTCAAAGCAGCCATTTAAATTATGAACTCCATTTGTGTTCCAAATTTCAGAAAGTTAGTCAATTTGATTATCATTTATATTCTTTTTTTAAGGTGATGAGTTACATCATTATGCTAGGGTTTAAGTAATGGAATCAGACTTTGCAAAAAGGAAAGAAAATGTTGCATATAGACTTCCTTCCCCAATCCTCATAGAACTGAGGAGCCCTAATGCATCATTGTTGTCCTTCATTTATGTTAGGCCAGAAGTCAAGTATACTTATCATAGAAGAAGGAAATCATAATGGCAAGGGCATTATTGCAATACATACAGAGGCAGTCATGTAATTTTCTGTCATGGCTATTAAAGTGGTTGTTAGTTGAGTCAGTCTAACGTGATTGGTCATAGGTGTTTGGGATGAATCGGTGTAACGACAATATAAATAGGAGGTCAAGGTTGTGAGGTGGAGCAGAAAATAATCACAGTGAGTCAGTGACTTAGGGTCCGTTAGCCAAATGCTTACCAGGGTAAGCGCTTACCGGGTAAATTGTTACATACGATGTCGTTTTGGTAGACTAAAATCTTACCTGGTAAGTAAGAGGTAGTGTTGAATTTTACCGATAACAACTTACCAGGTAAGTGTTTAGGTAACCGGCCCCTTAGTTTGGGAGAATACAGTCTCTCAAAGTGATGGTTGGTTGTAAATCAATAAGTGTTCTTACTGATTTTGCAGAAGTAGATGAAGAAAACGTAGACTAGATGACAATCTAAAAATGATAATAACCTTTTAGCCGAGTTCAATCACCAGGCAGGCAGTAGTTTTTGGTAACTCCGGTTCACTTATTTGTAAGTTCCTATGAGATTCTTATATATTTCACTTAAATATCTCCATTGTACTCTTCCACCAATCACAAAAATAAATACAGATGCCTTGCTTCAGTCCCCCCCCCCCCCTTTCAATTTATGTTGAGGCTTCATGGGTCATTGCCTGGGTCCACCAGTTTCAGTAAATAATGATGGAAAGGATAAATTATATTAATATGGACAGAGGCTGCAACAAGGATAAATTGTAGTAATATGGACAGAGGCTGCAACAGAGGCTAAAATCAGTTAAAAAATCAATTTTGGGATTCTTTTAACGAGTAATAATGATCACTTGAATTGTTGTATAGCTCTCTATACATGCAGCAGTTAAGCACTAGAAATTCCAGCACCTCCAATCAAAGAAATGATGGAATTTGGAAGCCATCTACTCGCATAACATAATCAGTAATTTTGTCTTCTCATGTTAACGTTAGGCTACCACTGCCAATCTCAATATGCAATTCGAGAACCAGTTGGAGGCTTGACCATGAAGCTAAGTTGAACCTTAAGCTCCTTCGAGTGTTTCTGCTATCAAATTTTATCCTTCAGAGATGCCCTTTCGACTTCCATATCTTATATTTAACATCCACAACAATGGGGATATTCGAAAACTAACAGGGAGATCTTTCCTATCCTACTTCCAAATTACAAATTGGTATCCAGTACCATCTAGGGGACTTCGACACTTGCTTTGGTCAGGTCTTGGCAAGCTGATGAAAGAGAATACTTTCCAATTGTCAGATAACTTTGGCATGGCAATTGGTAATGTTATAAAGCATGTGTGATTTAGCAGTGAAACTAAAAGGATATGAGATAGTGAAGAGCATGCTAATCGAACCCCAAAAGGCAACATGCCACCGGTTTAACCCGACAGTGTAACAAGAAAACAATTTAACTCCTTTATCCCAGAAAAAACAATTTAACTCCTTTATCCCAGAAAAAGCCATTTAACTCCAGTACATTAATGTCCTGTCATACCTCATATGAGAAATCCACATGCCCTGGGGTATCAATAAGATTAAGGCAATAAGGTCGATCTTCATGCATGAAACGCATTCTAGCAGCCTGAAAGAAATATTAGCAATATCCATTTATCAGGAAATATCAAAATGGCAAAGAAGGGCAACATAAAAAGAATCAATTTTGTGTTAAATTTGCTTTTACACCTTGCACGAAATGTATTATTTACACCATGTTTTATTTGTTGCTCTTAGTTATAACAGGGCTCATCCCAAAACCATGTTTCTCTTTCTCTCTCTCTTCCTTTTTCTCTATCCAAAACCACTATTAACTTATCAAATTTGTTCTCTATAATTATGAGAAGAATTAATGAAACTGATATTTAAGTATAATAGTATTTACCATAAGACCCCACATTCAAAGTATAACCCACCAAGTGGCCCCGGTATCTATCGAACTGTTCATAAGATATAACAAAAAGCAAGATGACTCGCGATTAGAAGTTGACATCAGTTGACTAACTACTATCCCTATATCTTCAGTGCCCAACTCCAAGGTTACACCTTCTGATTACAGCTTGAATTGCATTTACGAATTTAAGTGGGCCTTTTTGAAAAAGTAAAATTAGCATTTGGCTTTTAAAAAGCAGATCAAAACAAACAGAAAAGTCAAAAATCCAAACAATAACCTAATAAGAAGTGAAGAGACTACATAACAGGTCCAACTCTGGAAAGAGAAGATAGACCACAACTGTTCTCAAAAAGCGACCTCACTTCTCCATGTTCTATTCTCGGAGATTCAGCTGATCATTTAAAATGAGGACACTAATTGATGATGCTACTGGATTTTCAAAATTGACAGATAAAAGGTAAGGTGCCATTTCTGCAAATCTACCTATTCTTATTTTTTCTATTTTTCTGAATGCTAAATGTTATTGAATACTAAAGTACCTCTCAATCTTGAATGTTGAACAGATGAATGCAGAATCTTGAATGTGTTGAGCAACAAAAAGTAGTTTAATGCTTCTTAGATGAATCATGTGGTATAGAGTGATTCCTGCCTAACCTTACACATATTCTCTAGTTGGTCCATCATCATCTATGCCGAGTGTGTTAGCCGCACCGCACATGCATGGTACATTATATATAGTTGTGATTCAGTATGTATTTTTCCAACTATGAGTTGATATGAAGTGGGAAGGATTTTTCCATCCATTTCTCTCTATCCTCTATCTCTCTGTCCAGTTTCTCCTTTTTTCCTGTAATGATGCGTCCCCTGAAATTCTGATTTGGGTTCCCAGTTTTGTATCCTGGGCCCTCTATTCTGTACTCTCTAAATTAATCAGATAACATGCCAGGATCAGGCAGTTACTGGTAAAATATGTCATTCCAAATACCAACTAAAACATGGGTCAAAATTACTCATAAAGGTAACTTTTTCCAGGCGCTGGCCTTTTACCAAGTTTCTGTGATCGAAAAAGAAAAAATGGTCGTATCATGATGACATAACATGTATGTACGTCAGCCAAGGACAAATCTTAATTAGTTTTATAGTATAAGAGGATCAACCTGTTCACAACAGTAACAATACCACGTGGTAATGTCTTATAGAAGAAGCATGAGATGGAACTTTGTAAGACCTTATTCCTTCTACCTTCTATCCAAGTAAAAAGAGCTCACGTATAAGGGTTGAGCTTAAGAAAATGAACCTGTAATTTGATTGTAATGCCCCTTTCCCTCTCAAGATCCATGTTGTCCAGAAATTGCTCCTTCATTTCACGTGATGGCACAGTTCCTGTCACTTGCAGCAACTTATCTGCTAACGTCGATTTTCCATGATCAATATGTGCAATGATAGAGAAATTCCTGATGTTTTCTGTGGGAACCTGCACTTCAATCAAAATCACATGTTTTAAAATCTCCGATAATTAGAACCTTACTCCTCCACAAAGTAACCAGTGTAATAGTGTAATATTTCAACCCAAAGAGGTGAATGGAAGTGCTTAAAATTTCCTTCCTATATCTAATCAAAACAAGAATGCCTACCAGAAACATATAAATGGTTCTCAATGGCCTAATCGAGAACAATAAACATCAAACTTGGGACCTGAAAGATTAATTTCACCATGATAACCAAGCCAACTGTGGTTGGAAACCGGTACTTCTCATTTTGTAACCCACTGCTGCCAAATAGGTACTTAGATAGAACTTCCTCAGTTCCCAAGAGAGAGATGTAGTGATACATTTTGCCCTTTGAGGTCAAATCTAGTACAAATCAAATATTAAATAGAGTATTTGCATCATTTCTGCTATATTTTTAGGATAGAAACATGTCACAACACTTTCCTATAGAACACTCCCTTCTTAAAAAAATATACATATTGACTTTCCAGGTCAAACCTGTTACCTTCCAATCTCAGAATCTATATGAAAAAATTTTAAAAACTTAAGGACGAAGGTTTTATATTATAGCATCTGCTACAAATGTACAGTGTTGCTGCCTAGTTTTCCGAGATTCTATCAGTTTTGTATTTGAAATAAGTCAATGAAACCTCAAAAAGTCAAGCTATATATGATGTTACTGAAATGGAGGAGTGTAAATTCGATGTGCACTAAATTAATTAACAAATGCTTACAATTCTCATCAAATTGAAGTTAAAAAGTACCCTTTTGGACCTCCAAATGCAAAGTCAACCTCCTTCACTATCTTACATCAATCACCAATCCATTACCATTACAATATAACTAATTCCTCACAGAAGTTGAGAAGAACGCCTTGCCTTTGTCCATTATAAGGATAAAAAACGTATATACAACGAAACTCCTAGTTTTAAAGTATTAGCCGTATGACCAATTGCAGAGAGAGTGGAAGATATTACCTTCAAAAGACGATCTCGGCCAGCTAGAACGGTTACCTCAGCGGCGTCAGAAACATCTTTGGACTGAACGTCCGCGGCCTTATTACACACACGATAGCTCCTCCGACGACTTCTACTGTAGTCGTTGGAATTATTCTTGGAAGAGCGAAAAGAGTGTAGACTACAAAATGTTCTGTTAGAGACCGGAAATGGAAGGAGGTGGCGGCTGAGGTTGGTGGTTCTGGTGCAGTGGTGGTAGTTGTCGTGCGGTGGTGGTTTCGAGGATAAGAAGAGTTTGAGGTTCGTCGCCATTCTCACGGCGGGTGGTTGCAATCGTTGTTCGTTCCTTTTAAACCACAAATTTGGGACTTACCCGCTATCTTTTGCATTTTTGCTAAAATAAACTATTAACAAAATAGTAATCGGGGAGTTTGGGTTTCGTTGCGTTTTTCTACAAAGTTCCTACTCAATTTATTATAAATTAGAACAAAGTTCCTACTCAATTTATTATAAATTAGAATGGTTTAATTTCTTTAAAAACTCTTTGTTACCAGTTTGACACCGGTATAAGTTGTTTATCCAAAAACTCAGAAGTGTTTATTACCGGTACTACACCAGAATAAGTCAATAAGTTATTTTTATAAGCAATGTCAAACACCTCCGAAATCTATTTAAAAACATTATATGTTATTATTAGTATAAAATAGTCAGTATTGTATTTTTATAGAACAAAAAAAATATTCCTAACAGAAAAATAGATTTACGGTACCTTGTGTTCTATTCAATCGGAAATATGCGACCATCTCTCATCACCGTATGGATTGTAAGAAGTAGCGTGATCTTCATTGGTGAATCTTACCATATCTCTAGTGTTGATTTACGATTTTCGTTGAGTGGGTGTATCTTTAAGGTGGATTAAAGTCTCGTAAATACCTGATGCGTTTTATACTTAATTTTTCCATTTTCGGAAGGAAAAAAATCAAGTTTTTTTGGTTGATTTTGATGGATTTTTTAGGTTTTTTGGTTAATATTTCTTATAATTTTTTGATATCCCAAAGCATCCTCTAAGTTTAGCGGGTGCACCCCTTTCATATCCTTAAAAGATTTTACTTACGAAAATTGGTTAAACGAGTGCGGAGGAAACGGCTTGGACCTTAAGAGGTCCACCCCTACATATATGGTTCCATCAATTATGAGTTATTTCTCTTGTAGATCAACATCGAATCAAAATGTCACATATATATGGAGTGGGGATCTTTTGCAAACCCCATACAAACTTTGCTAACTGTATTCAATCAATTAGATTGCTTTTTTTAACAATTTTTTTAACCGGTCCCGGTCCCATAAATCGGACGAAAAGTACAATCGGTCGTAACCGTCGGTCCCATAACCAGTCCTCACCGGTCCCGGTCCCTTGGCTGGTCCCGGGCTGATCCGGGCCAGTTTGGCCATCACTACCAATCAAGCATGTGGTTGTCACTGGTTTACAAAATTCTATCTTTTATCAATGTTTTATTAAAGGGTAGTTCTGTTCTTCATCTTCATTAATTGGATTTGATCTGTTTTTCACGGTGTTCAAATGAACACAGACCATAAGGGGCCAAAAATTGGCACTGAATGCTTATGTAAAGGGCAAGGTTCAAAATGGTGCCAGGCATGTCGTCAAGACAAGATAAAGCCTCAAACCTTAATAACATAATAAACTCAAAACATTTTCCAAAACACGACTTATAGTAGCAAATGAGGGTGGTTTGTACGATTTGTACAAATGAGGGTGGTTTTCATTTGATCGCTCCTATATATATATATATATATATATATATATATATATATATATATATATATTATATAATAAGTATATGTATATAGACATGTTTTCTGCTATTACTTCTATATAAAACCATATACAAGTGGATTATATACTAAAAACTACAAAATAAAAACCTAAAAAGTATTATAAAAATTAAAAGCTAATAACAAAAGATTAAATAATGTTAAAGAAAACGAGCATTGAACCATGACGTGCCATAAGAGTAATGTGATACTTTTTTTTATTAACCTGAATATCCAACCCGTTATGCGAGCTGACTAATCCCAGGGAGACCACCTGCTTTGCAGATAACCCAGAGTCTCCGCATTTGAACCTCCGTGACCACAAGGGGATTTTTATTCCTCCTTAGATTTGAACATGAGACCTCCCAGTAATTTTGACTTTTAGAGTCAAGCTCAAACCAATAAGGCACCACCCTTGTGGTTGTAGCGTGATACATTTAGAACACTGTAAGAGAAATATGTAGCATAGCACACAAGCAACTAGTCAACATGAAAAAAGAAAAGGCATAAAACATACCGACACAATCAAATACACAAATTCTAACTCCAAGTTCAAATGGTCAAGGTGTTTTACATCATCTGTGAAAAATTGATATCATCTTCAACTACAACCATTCGAAGAAAAATGTACTCATTATCGTTTCTTAAATCCATATTTTTTACGTTCGTAGAACAGATCCGTTTTAGCACTCCCCAAATTGACGATCTTCGGGCACCCATCTCTATCTTTCTCCTGCTGTGTGCACTCTTTGCAGTAATAGGCGTCAGAAATACCCACACCTCCACATATAACACAGCGACCTTGAAAGGACCCATAGTTGCACTCATCGCACACACGCACAAGTGTACATGGACGCACATAAGAGTCGCAAATTACACACTTGCCATCGCATTTTTCACAAAGCCGGCCAATGGCGATTCCTGGTTGCTTCCTGCACATGATCAAATCAGGATGATGCTTGGCCATGATTTCCTCAACAGGCTCTCAACTCCCTGAAACTATAATAGCCTGCAATAAATATCTATGTGACTTTGATTAGAATGGAACTTGAAATAAAGAGTAAACTGAAAACTGCAAGTTGTCGAAAGTTCTAATAAAAAGGATTAGCAGAAAGACTTCTTTGTTGTTCATACCACCATACCAGAGCAATAAGATAGATTCGGGGTTGTATTTTTTTCTCTTACCTACTTCTGTTTTTATGGTGTTGTTTTTAACTAGTCTTAGGGCCTGTTTGTTAGCAGCTTCATGAGCTTAATGGGACTCGTACCTTATTCAGTCAGCTTTACATGACTGTTTGGTAGTAGCTTAATGATATAGAATGTCGGCTTCTAAGGGGGAGCTTTATACATAAAGTGAAGTTTTTTTCTAAACCTTCCCCTCCCAATTAAAAAACACGCTTCTTCCATCTATAGAAAAACCCTCCCAAACAAAAATCTTCTCAATCCGTATTAATCTACACAAGCAACTTTATCCATACAGGACTTAATGGAAAACCAACCAAACAGGGCCTTAGTTCATCTTCATTTCATCACTTTCGATTTCTTGGCCTTTTTTCAAGCTATTAAAACTTTTTGGGCAAGTTCCTTTGTCTCTCATATTTTTCACAAGTTTGGTTCACGGAAACTGTCTCTCTACTTCTTAGGGTAAATGACAGGTACGCGTACATCCCATCCCCCCACACCCCACCTTCGGCTGGGATAACTGGGCTTGTTTGGTTTGGTTTACCTGGTGTATGTTGGTCTGCAGAACAATCAGAGGGTAACCATTCTTTGATAACCTTTTAAGTTTTACTGACCATGTGCTACCATGATGAGTGGATACGTGGTCTCAACCGAGATGGCAAATCCTAATATTGGGGTCTTTATTACGGCTTCTTCATGAGTGGCGTATAGCTGCCTCCTCGAGCCAAAGCACAATCCAATTCAAGAACATTTTGTAGCCGCAGAAAGAACCCAATAACACTTCTTTGTTTGTTTGGATTACGGTTTTCGAGTTTTCGTATGTTGTCTTTATCAACATCAATTTTTTTATTTACTCTATGAGGCAATACAAATGGGATGCCTTCATATAGAATCACTCACTAATCATTGCAATCCATATAAATCAACAGTCAAAATCCTTTGTGCTGTTCATATATTCCATCAACAAATCTCCCACCCCCAATATTGAGTCACTATTCTCTATGTATGTATAGCTTAAGCTTTAGTAGCAATTTTTCTCTACTAATGCTAACATGTTGTGCAATAGCACTAATTGCTAAATGTTGTGTAATAGCGCTTTAATTTCTATGCACCTAGAAACCAGCATTGGTGGCAAAAATTTGGTAAGAAACGTGGCTTACAAACCGAAGTGGGCCTATTAGAAATGCTAATATACTCCTGGAGTGTTGTTGGATGTTTAATCCTTTTTTTTTAAGTAGATAATAATATATATAAGGCAAACAGAGCACATAAACTCACACACCCTCCTCACATTTGGTGAGGTTTGAACCCATGACCTCCTAGGAGGCCAAAGACTCACATACCACTAGGCCAAAGGCCCTTTGGTTGGATGTTTAATCCTTGTAGATGTATTATTGGGATTTTGGTTGTCTATATTTGCAAAGTAATATATTTGTAAAGAATTTTACTTACTCAGAACACTTATCAAACAACATATTTCATTCAGGATTAAATCGTATACAGGTTTAAAATGATAATTTTTGTCATTCAGAGCATTACCAAACAAACCATTTTTCAATTTGCGTTAAATCATGCAAAACTTCTTACTTGTTTTGACCACTTAGTCATTTTGCACCAAGTCGTTCGACATCTACAAAACAACCCCTTGGTGCCACTTAAAGAAGAGTAAGATACATGCAATCACCTTCCTCAACCATAAGTGAATGAAGTGATGGCAGTTAGAAATAAAATGAAGAGATGGTTATCAAACAAAGAAAGGAGGTGATTATCTAGATATATATCACAAATAAAGCAACAGATTGAACCATAAGGAGTCATGAGATTAATGTAGCAAAGCATAAGTCGTTTTGCCTCCCTCTTTCAATCTAGTTATTCCACTCTAATTTCAATGAGTGAAATTGTTCCCAAATTCCCATAGAAATAACCACATCATTAAAAGTGAACGAGAAAAACACATGGCTCTAAAAGGCCCGCAAGACTCATCTTTGCTGTCAAGTTAAGTCCCAGAGCATCTAGGTAAGGCGTGGCTCATGCCATGGCGGCTTGAGGAGCGCCATGACATTTTTTACAAGGCATGACGGTTTTCTATTTCTTTCTAATTTTTAATATTTTTGTGTTTTACACTTTTAACTTTCGGTTTTACTTTGATTTAGCTAATTACCAAACTCACCAAGTCATGGATTCACAGACACCCCTCATGGACTCACTAATTAAATGGTATCAGAGCTCGGTTTCATAACAATCACTAGTTTTGCGGATCGAAATTTTTGTTCTTCGGTTAGGATTCTTGTTCTTCTAGTTTCGGTTTCTTCATTGTGTGGGATCGGTTTTGCTGGTTGTTTGTGGGCTTCGTTTATCCTTGTGATCTGTTCCTCGTGGCTGTTGTTTGCTGACTCTCAAATCTGGTCGTGTTTCAAAGATACGGCTGGTAGGGTTTGTTTGTTTTTAGGGTTTCTTGTGCAGCAAGGGTTCTTGATCCTAGGCATTTTAGTTTACAATTTGCTACTGTCTGGATCTGGTTGCTGCCGTTTCTTTTTAATCCAGATCTGAGCGTGTTTTTCTTCCTCACGACTTCAGATATGTTTGCATTTGGGTGTTGTTTCCTCGGCTGTTTGGTGCTGCTGTGATTCGGGACTGTTTCGCTTGATTATTTTGGTCGACAGCAAGCTTTCAATTGCTGTTTGAGCGACAACAAGTTTTGTTGCTGTTGTTTGCTTGTTGCCCGAGTCCAAGCTGCGGATTCAATTCGTTTTGCAGCTGTTTGTTGTAGTTTCCTTGGATTGGAAGTTTTATGTTCGTTGGTTTATTTGGCACCTTGTGAGTGCATCGTTCGCTTTCTGGTTTGCTATTCTTCGTCCTAACTTCTACATTCTCTCTTCTGGTTCGTGATTTATTGGAAGATGACTGGAGAAGACAAAACATCGGACAGTACCAGTAGCTTATGTGTACCCGAGATGCTTCCGGTAAATATTAACCCCACCGACAACAAACTTAATGGCTCCAACTACTTTGAGTGGAGCAAAACTATTCGTATCAATCTCCGGAGCATGGGAATGGCTTCTCATCTCACATCGGATCCTCCTAAAGGTAACGGTTCTTATTCATGGTTCCAAAGTGATGCTCGTTTGTACTTGCAAATTATCAATACTATTGAGCCTTCTGTTTCGCCTCTGGTTAGTCACTGTGAATATGTGAAGGAACTTATGGATTACCTTGATTTTTTGTATTTTGGACAAAGTAACATCTCTCGAGTCTATAGTGTTTGTAAGTCCTTTCATCATGGAGAACAACAGGCTTGATCACTCACGACGTATGTCATGGAGTTCAAGAAAGTGTATGAGGAACTTAACTCTCTTCTTCCATTAAGTGTTGATGTCAAAGCCATGCAGACTAAAAGGGAAGAAGTGGTTGTTGACCAGAATTTGACTCTATCAGATCTTAGTCCTTGAATGAATCTGCTATTCCTTCTCTTCAAGAAACATTTGCCCGTGTTCTTAGGAATGAGAATCTTCAGGCTTCTTAAACTTCTGGTCACAACAGTGCTCTGGTTGGTCGAGGGGGATTTCGTGGTGGCTACCGAGGAAGATTTCGTGGGGATCACCGTGGTGGCTCTAGAGGTGGCCAGTGACCACAGTGACCAAACAACCGACTCACAGGCTACTATTCCAGATTCTGATAATGTTGAGTGTTACTACTGCCATGAGTTAGATCACACCAAGCGCACATGTAAGAAGCTTTTGGCCAGACATCTGAGGAGTTCAGCGCACGTTGCCTCTGCCTCTGCCTCTGCCTCAAATAGTACTGTTACTATACCCGCAGAAGAATATGCTCAGACTTTTAGAGACTAAGAATTCCACTGCTCCGACTGCTTCATTTGCTGAGATAGGTAACTCTAGTACATGCCTATATCTTCTGCCTCCAAATGGGTCATTGATTCAAGTGCTTTAGATCACATGACATGTAATCCCACCATCTTCTCTAATTTCCTTAAACACAAATTCCTATCACATGTCACAATTGCTGACGGGTCTACCACACCTATCCTTGGTTCTAGCACCATCGATCTTACCTTGTGTTTTTCATTATCTTCCGTATTGAGCCTACCTATTTCTCGTTCAATTTGCTATCAGTCAACAAAATTACCCGTGCTTTAAATTGTAAAATTATTTCCTGATTTCTGTGTCTTTCAGGATCTGACGACGAAGAGGATTATTGGTAGAGGGCGGGAGACTGATGGCCTATACATATTTGAACATCAAGTACCTTCCTCATTGACTTGTTCCAACTCATCGTCTCCACTTGAAGTTCATTTTCGATTAGGTCATCCATCTTTACAGAATCTAAAGAAGTTGTGTCCTGAGTTTTCTTATTTACCTTCTCTACAATGTGAGTCTTGTCAGTTTACCAAACATTCGTGTATTCATTTAAGTCCTAGAGTCTATAATAAGCGGGCCTCAACCCCATTTGAGTTGGTCCATTATGATGTTTGGGGACCATGTCATGTTACTTCAAAACTTGCGTTTAAGTATTTTGTTACGTTTGTTGATGATTACTCTCGCACTACTTGGCTTTACTTTATGAAAAATCGATTTGAGGTATTCACACATTTTTGTTCACACTATCTAAGATTAAAACCCAGTTTAAAGTCTCCATTCAAACTCTTCGTAGTGATAATGCAAAACAATATTTGTCCCAAACATTTCAGTCATATACGATTCAAAATGGCATTCTTCATGAGTCTTCCTGTGTTGACACACCAGCCCAAAATCGGGTTGCAGAACGAAAGAATAGTCATCTCCTAGAGGTGGCTCGGGGTCTATTATTTCACATGACTGTTCCTAAAGTCTTCTTATTATTTCACATGACTGTTCCTAAAGTCTTCTGGCTGATGCGGTTGCTACAGCTTGTTTTCTTATCAACCGAATGTCTTCCGTTGTCTTGGATGGTAAAAGTCTTTTCTCAGTTCTGTTTCCTACAAAATATTTGTTTCCTATCGACCCAAAGATCTTTGGTAGTTCCTGTTTTGTCCACGATACCCGAACTCATATAACTAAGTTGGATCCAAAGTCTCTAAAATGTGTCTTTCTTGGTTATTCTCGACTTCAAAAAGGGTATAAGTGTTTTCCCCCCATGCTTAGTCGATACATTGTATCACGAGACGTTACATATATACCCTTCTTTCCTATGTCCACTCCTTGCAACCCAAGAGATAGTGATGATTTGTTGGTGTATATCATACTTGTTCCTAAGTCTACTACCCCAMCCGACTTGACATAGACCCAAGAGCCTACTAAACCACCAATAGTTCATGTATATAATAGGCGGCAATGACCTACATCATATCCTGACCCAACACCATCTTCATCATCGTCTACAGATCCGCCTAATGATGATCCTGTTGCTTCGAGTGATCCACCAGCTTCCGATACACAGGTTCTGATCTTGATGTTCCCATTGCTCTTCGGAAAGGTAAGCGCTCATGCACTTACCCTATCTCTTTTGTTGTTTCCTATGATAAACTTTCTACATGTTCTCGTTCTTTGATCTCTACACTTGATTCTTTATTTGTTCCTAAAACGGTTGGTGAAGCTTTTGCCCATCTTGGATGGCGGGATGCTATGATTGATGAGATGAATGCTCTCGATCATAATGATACATGGGATTGGTAGAGTTACCTGCACGAAAAAAGGCAATTGGCTGTAAATGGATATTCACTGTGAAACTTAATCCAGATGGACCCGTGGCTCGTCTAAAAGCCCGATTGTTAGCCAAAGGATATGCTCAGACCTATGGGGTTGACTATCTCGAGACATTTTCTCCTGTAGCTAAGGTACCCTCCATCCTTTATAACGTGGTATTCACTTAAAGATTCCCAATATGCAATACCACTGAATAAAATTTTATTTTTTATTTTTCCACCAAGAGCTACAAAATAAGTTTGAGGGTATGCACATGCATGCCCTTCCTTCAATGTGGTTCCACCGTTGCTCCAAAGAGATCAGATCTTCTGTCATTTAATGTCTTCAAAAATATCACTTCTTTTGCCATTTGAAGTCTCATTCTTTTATAATACATGTATTTGAGCAACTAGTCAGGAAGTGAGATATAATTGGAAAAAAGTAGTATAAGGGGGTGTTTACTTAGGACTTAACGAGCTTAATGGGTTAAATAGCTTATTCTCACAAACAAAATATAGTGTTTGCTTGTGGCTTATTCGCACAAATGTAAGCTTATAGCACAGATGGAGAAGAGTTGTTGTCCACATTCAGCCAAAAAAAGACAAGGCTGCCCTTGGTTTAGTAAACATCCCAAATCTAAAAAACTTAACCCTAGCCACTATAATTCTTTTCTCCTCCAAACCGAAATGCACACTCAATTTCTCCAAATTGATTTACAACTTCAAGCTCTCTCTTCCAAATCGATTTCTGCACACTTGAGACATACATGCACTGTCGACGTCAACCTTCTTTCGGCAACCGACAATGAACAACAGTTATAAACCCAAGTTGTGACCAACAGTTATAAATCCAAGCTTTTGAAGGTTAAGTTTTGATAATTGGTCCATTGTTGCTTCAGATGATGATGATAAGGAGTGATAAGATCTCGAGTTCTTCTTTAATTTTTCATGGATCTTGCTTGGTTTCTTCAAATCCTCGGCCACATTTGTTACAAAAATAAGATGGAGCTACCGGGAGAATTTGGAAAAGCAAAAGATGTAGCTTAGAGGAGGAAGAAGATGCAGTCATTTGGGTTTCTTAAATTTATAAAAAGAAAAGGATGTAGCTTAGAAGAGGAAAAAGATGCAGTCATTTGGTTTCTTCAATTTCTCTTGCCATCTGTTGCTACCATTTGTCGTTACTCATAGGTTGCTTTATTAAAAAATCAACAACAATTATCAAATAGCACATATTTCATACTTAGGGGTAAATCGGTCATTTTGTCATTCAGATTGTTGATTCAGAAAAAAAGTAGACAACAACATTAATTTATCCAACCAAAGGGCCATTGGCCTAGCGGTATGTGAGTCTCTGGCGTCATAGGAGATCAAAGGTTCAAACCTCACCAAAGGTGAGGAGGGTGTGAGTTTATTTATATCTTCAAAAAAAACATCAACTTATCCAGACTGACAAATTTATCTACACAGACAACCAAACTTTATAGAGAATTTGGTACAGCCCCTAAGTTGTTTATAAGATGCTAGTTCACCTAACTTTTGTGTGATAATTGTGTAATCATCTTTCGTTATGACTACTAATTACATAAAAAACATTATATTTAGTAATGTAATGTTGGTTGATGATTGTATGAAGTTTATGCTTGTAGATAGCATGAAAAAAATTTGTTAGAATGCCAAATGTGACCCTATTTTGGAAGATTCCAAGAGTGTCAAGAAGTTGGTTGTTATATGGTCATGAGAAACCACCGATTGAAGCACCACAGGTAATTCACTAGGCAATTCACAAGTGAAAAGGTTATGAGAATAAAGGGTAGTTACCAACAGAGATTGGGTAAAAGCTAACTGGGTAAGAGTGTAGTTTGGGTAAGCATTGATTGAGTAAGGGGCGTTTACCAAACGCTTGTGGTTTACATTTACCTTACTAGGTTAGCATAGAAAAAACTGAGAATCTTACAAAAAAGAGGCAAGACAAAGAACGAGAGTCTTACGCGGTAAGCAGTGGCGGACCCAGGAATTTTTCTGAGCGGATGTACCTTTAAGTTCAACCAAAGGCCAACAAAGTCGCGGTTTAACCCAGGGAAAAGTCAACACAGTTTGACCTGAGAAAAGTTAGGTGAACTAGCAGCATCTTATAAACAACTTAGGAGCTGATAAATGCACCTGGTGATAGACGCTTACCAACAATCCATTTTGATGGCCGGAAATGTTACATAAAAAGGTACATGAGGATGGTGACTCTTGCCGATAAGTGCTCACCGGTTAAAGGTTTGGTAAACGGCTGCTAAGAGTCCCTCCCTTAGGCCTTAGCTTACCAGGTCAACATCTTGGTCAACATCATAGACCGGTAAGAAGGCAAACAACACATTTCTGACAGAGTAAGCACCTCTTACCCAGTAAAAGGCGGTAATCAGGCAGTAAACAACCCTAAGTTTCAACCATTTAAACAAGTCCAACCAGACCCTCTATTTATGATTCTTAAAAATATATATTTTGTCTCCCATCAAACAACATACGAGAATCTAGCTTTCACAAATCATATAGCAAAGAGCTGATGAATACCTATTCTGAAATAAATTATGAATGCTTATATCCTAACACCAATCGGTCAATGTGTTCATCATACATCTCACAAATTCAGAACCCCGTATCATTTTCATACCGCAAGAACCCTACCCAAAAAAAAAAACTCAAGTTTTACCATATTCACTTCAATCAGACAAATATATTCAAATACATCATTTCCCCGTTCTAATCTTGCATAAGCACTGAATGTTGGTGTTAATTGCTCATCCGTGTCCTTAAAATTAACAAGTTTCTAGGGTTTCATCACTAACTGCGCAAATCTTCAACATGAAGATTACAAAATTTGGAAGCACAATAAAAAAAACTCAAGAAACACACACATAAGGCAAATATGCAAATACGCACGCATAGAGATGAAGAACCACAAGTTGATTTACAAAAAACATCTAACCTGATGAACAGTGAGACAGTCGGCAGAAGAAATATCACAGGATAACGCGGTCCCTTGTTAGGCCTCCAGGAGCATGCACAAAATTGGGGCTTCGTAGTTCGGTTAGGTCCGATATAGTACTATTTAAACTCAAGTAAATTTTGATGTTCATTGTTGTTTGCTTTTTCACAATAATGAAAGAAAATTACATTAAATATTTACGAATAAAACATTCATTCTAATTTTTAATAATTAGAAGGGTACTCGTATAATTTAACAAAATATATCTTGATTTTAATGTTTTTTTTTTTCTTTTCTCTATCGATGTTATAATATAGTTTTATGTGTTATTAAAAATACAATAATGTTTTTTTGAACAAAATATAAATTTAAAGATATCATAAAACTTTGAAAAAAAAATATCGTATTAAATTAACTATTTAAAAATTATATTATTTCTATGTAATTCTTTTAATTCAATATTTTTTATTATAACTTAATTTAGGTTTGATAAAGAAGTTTTTTTTATTTTTGGTTTAATAATAAATTTTTTTATAAAGATAATAATTAAATATTTTGTTATAATGATTATCTTAATTATGTTGTTTGTTCCAAAAATTTCAAACATGAAGTTTTAATAAATTGTACTTACGCACAGAAAGGAAATAGCATGTGGTATAGTAGCATTGATAAATGAACCAAGAGAATAGATGAAATGTCTGGATTCCACTGTCGTATGAGTACTAACCCCTAATCATTATGTCTGTAATCACAAAGAAGAACATTTTTTCATTGATGCATTAGCTTCATCACAAAAATTAACCCTATAAATTGAATCTTGAATAACAAACAAAAGAATGAAGAAAACAACCCTTGAAAGATGTTGATTCTGTTTGAAAAAAAAAATATCATAGATAACACATAGTGTAAATAACTGAAATGAAAAACAAAAACAAAAAATTAAAGGAAACTAACCCTGGAAGCTTGGAATATGTCTGTATCCTGAAGAACCTACTTCGAACATATATGAGTAGAGGATGTGATAGAAATGAAAAACAATATGTATATCTGTCTAAATCTGTTAAATCATTGTCTGATGGAGGTTATCTAAATCTATTGAAATAGATAGATGGAATGATATGGATGAAGCAATCGACTAATAGAAGGATATGGGTGAAGCTGATAAATCTGAGGATCAGTTGAAAGTCGATAGATCATGGATGAGGAGATATGTTTAATCGATTGTACCAAAGCATTGAGAATTTGTAAACTTGAAAAATTAAGTAATTTAGCATGATATTCGTACATAATGCTTTGAAAGTTGTTTGTAAGAGATTCGGTCAGATGCTTTATAATATAATATAGATTATTTTTTAATCATAGAAAAATCACCTAAAAAAATGAACAAACTTTGATAGTTTCTATCTTGGGGAACCAATTTCTAAAATTGGTCAATTTACCTGTTGAGGAGTTGATTGATACCTTTAAAATGACGTGGCAAAAAAATCAAATTTAAAAAATTACATAAAATACGTATTATTTGTGAAATAAAATATAACCTTACTGTACACCTATGTGGATGGCCGTTGTTTCCATGTCAGTGTCCTGTAACAATTGTTCTCCTCTTTTTTTCACTTTTTACGCCACAAACACCCCCCGTTTCCCATCTAAACTCCTTCATCGATGTTTATCATCAAGTTCTTGATCTTAAGAAAGAATAAAGCCTACAAAAACCCATAAAAAGGTTTAATAGAGATGTTCTTTTTGACAATATGCAACAATTTCTGTGTTGATAAGTATTAAAACCATTTAGAAAAACCAAATCTTTATAACAGGAAAAGTCTTAGGGCCATGGAAGAAAGATGAAGTAGTGCAACGCTGAAGATGCTAAGGTTAAGGAGGTGACGGTTTTGTTAACGTGGGTGCTGCGTCGGAGTTGCAATGTTTATACAGATAAAAAAGGTGGCACTTTTTTAACCCTTTTTTTTTAATTTCTTTTCTAATTTGGTTTATTTTGTTCAACTTTTTATTTAATAGTTTTTATTTTTTAAGTATTTTATAAATAATTCTATATTACTTTTAAAAGGTTGTATATTAATATGAAATTTGAGTGTATTAATTATTTTTATTCAATTAAAATATATAATAATGAAATGATAAGTTTTTTTTTGGTTATTAGTTTTGATATTATGTAAAATTTTAATTATTAGATATAAGAAATATGTGGCATATCATCTTTTCAAACTTTAAATATTACCTGAAATATTACTTATTATTTACTGAGGCTACAACATCATTAACAGATCATCAAGTCAACTAAACCATCATATATATGAAAAGTTTATTTAAGTCCTTTAAGATATTGTTTGACAAACATATGTTAGCTTATTATTTACGTAATCGTTTGGATTCCACAAAGTTAACTTATTGATAAACTACTTGGAGTAGTTTATGAGAAGTTTTACGACATTTTTTTCAATTATAACTCTGATTAATATAAATTATTATTATTATTAATCATAAATAAATATTAATTATTTATGAATATTAATTTATGCAATTAAAAACTATTAATTAATTTTAATTATACATTAT